ATGAATGGGGGAGACGAGGAATGCGTATAGGATATTGGTGGGAAAGCCAGAAGGAAAAAGACCACAGGGAAGACCAAGGGTAGGTGGGTGGACAATATTAAAATGGATCTTAGAGAGATTGGATAGATCTGGTTCAGGATAGGGACCAGTGGAGGGCTCTTGTGAACACGGTGATGAACGTTCAGGTTCCATAAAATGCTGGGAAATTCTTGAGTAGCTGCAGAATTGGCGGCTCCTCCAGAAGGGCTCAGCTCCATGAGTAACTAAATAAGTAAGTAAGTAAGTAATCCTCATATAAATGGGATATCGGACCACAATGCCCAAATTATCAAGTTAAATAATTTCAAAACACAAGGGCAGTATAATGTAACACAAATCATAAGAAATTTTAACAAACATCCCTTAATTAATTTTAAGAATAAACTGAGTTTCGAGACATGGGATGATATCTTTGGAGGGAATGACATTGACATAATATTTAATAACTTTCTTAATACATATCTTAGAATCTTTTATTCCAGTTTTACTAAAAGAAAAATAAAGAGTAAACCAAAAGGTAACGCATGGTTAACAACAGGGATAAAGATCTCATGTATAAATAAAAGAAATCTGTATTTACAGTGTAGAACCAGTAATGATATTAATTTAAAAGAATATTATAAACAGTACTGCAAAATTTTAACTAAGGTCATAAATGCGGCTAAAAACTATATTATGATAGGAGGATATTGAACTCTAAAAATAAAATGAAAACTACCTGGAATATAATTAAAACTGAAAGAGGGAATAAAGGTAATAAAGAAGATATACAGTACCTGGATATTAAGGGTAGTACAGTATCCAACCAACAAATTCTTGCAAATAAATTCAATGATTATTTTTTAACAATCGTTGATAATATCATAGATAGTAGCGGAGTTAGTAAAACAGGTCAGCCAATACATGACAATTATCTAAATTATATGTTACAAACATACAAGGGCCCACCCCCAAATATTCAGTTTAGACATATGTCAACTTGTGAGATAGAAAAAATTATTAAATCCTTAAAAGCCAAACATTCATATTGATATGATGGGATACCAACTATAATATTGAAAGCAAGTGCCCCTTTTATCAGCTCGCCTTTACCGTGTATTATTAACAAATCCCTTTCCTCAGGTATCTTTCGAACTAGATTGAAATTCTCAGTAGTAAAATCAGTATTCGAAAGTGGTGATAAACATAGTATTTCTAATTATAGACCCATATCTTTGCTACCCGCCTTCTCCAAAATTTTGGAGAAGGTAATATACTCAAGATTCTACCAACATTTAACCCTAAATAAGATACTTACAAGCGACCAATATGGTTTTAGGAATAACTCTTCAACTAATATGGCCTCCTTCAAACTATTGAATGAAATTTTATTAGCCATGAATAATAAATTAACCGTGGGTGGCATATTTTGTGACCTAGAGAAAGCATTCAACTTTGTCAACCATGATATACTTCTAAAAAAATTGGAACACTACAGGATAGTAGGAACATTTAAAGCATTAATTACGTCATACCTAGACAACAGGTATCAGAAAGTGGTATTAGATAACAGGAAAACTCATAATAGTACCTCCTCCGAGTGGGAGATCATAAAGCATGGTGTTCCACAAGGCTCTATCCTTGGTCCATTATTTTTCCTATTGTACGTTAATGAACTTCTTAACGTAATAACTAACAGTGCAAAAATCTTCCTATATGCTGATGATACAAGCATCATAATGTCTAATCCTAGCCTTCTGAATTTTGAAACTAATATGAATAAACAACTTGTAGCCATAAATGAACCCTGATTCCTTGGTCGTCCAGTCCTTAAGCCAGTCACCATAACAACTGAGCTATTCCTATTATAGGAGAATTAAACTAATTTCTAACTGCACAAAATGCGATCTGTATAATGAAGGGCAGGCACAGAGTCTTGTTACACTTAGAAAGACTGGGGCTGCATAAAGGGAATTGTTACAAGGTAGCATTAAGGAAACATTGATGACTTCCAAGAACTAGCTGTTGTTGCTTCTACTCATGACATGCCTAAAATGCTTCAACAGTGTCCCATGCAACAAGGCGGAGTGTTACTGTCTGTTTTGATAATGAAGGAGTACAAATGTACCCCCTTTGAAGCTCTCCTGGCTTGATGACATCAAAAGTCTCACTGGCCAACTACAACAGCTGTTCCCCATCCAAACTGGTAGCTGTAGGGGACAGTGACTGCTATCAACAAGTGACATGTCAGTCTTTCTCTCTGTCCCGCTCTGTGCATAGTAGTTACAGTCGTATAACTGATTCAGAGGCATACTTCATTGGTGTCTTGCATTCCTAGTAGAAAGACAGCAAACTTACAGTTTTGTTTATAATCAAATCTACCCTGTATTGAAACCTGCTTATAACTGACTCCCAAAGCAAGCCTATTTTTGAAGTTGAATGCAAGAGATGTATAACTCCATGCAGCATTAACCTAGTCAGTGGATGTGGGCAAATGATCAGGTTTACATCCCAGCCTTCTTACCCCCCCCCTTCCCCAGCAAAAGAGACTGAGTTGACCCCAAAGCCAATGTCTACACTGTCAAGAAGATAAAAATCTCTTGTGTCTGCCAGGAATTGAACCCCGATTCCTGAGACCGTTTCCTAATCCCCACAGGTCCTACTGACTGAGCTGTCCAAACTCATGACGGTACCAATTAAGGTCTAGGAACATAAAAATTTGTTACAAGGAAGATCATAGTCAAATTATGAAGGGTTCAAAGAAAGAGACGGCAGAAAATGTAGGAGGGTGTCTGGAACTGAGCAGGAGAATTTATGCATTCCAGTCGCCAAGCCCATGCTGAACCATTTTCTGCAGCCACATGCCCCTTGTACCCTCCCGGCTCCCTGTAAGAACCAAGCTACATCATACCTTGTGTAGGCATCTTAAGGGAGAAAATGTCCTGTGTGAGCACATCTCATTATCCAACCGATGTATGAATAAATGAAGTATGTGAAGAATGTAATTTAGCAACTTTATGTGGTGATGATGTAATGATCTCCATCATTAACTGATGATGACACTACCTTGTTTGTATAGTAGACGGGGTCTATAAGTCCACAGGTGTCATGGAATGGAGTCGCATAGTTGAGCACTCTCCTCATCTCCTTCCCGCTGTACTTCCCCCTCCACCTTAACTCTGTCTCAGTGAAGATTTTCTTGCACCAACCTACGCAACCTCATAGAATCTGACTTGTTTTGCAAGTGTTTCCTTTTGTGATTTGCAGACTGGGTAACATGTGGCGAGCAATGAAAAGTGAAGAGAAAAAGAAGTACATGGATATGGCATGCCAGGCAAATGCAGAGCACAAGGAAAAATATCCTGGTAAGTGATTTGCCTCAATATTCTCTAAGGCTCATCTTCTGCAGTATAAGCTTTCGTCCTGTTAAATTCCTCTGCTTTCTCCTGCATTCCTTACCAGTCCTACATGTTGTCGACTGATGCATTGAGGCTAACTTTTCACCCCATCTCCAAAATGTAATGCACACAAATAACACAGGTCTTCAAAAATAGTTTTTTTTTCAGCTGCATGGAATATTTTTGGTAAACGTTATGTTTTCTAGGATGCTGAATCCAAAAATGACCTCAATTTCCCCCTATCATGTACGGTTTTTTGGAAAATAATAGGGGTTTACAATAAAAAATCATAACAGTGATAAAAAAATCACTAATTTTATTACACTGAACTAAACATATTATTTCTCATAATTAAACAATTCCTTCACGATATATTTAACATTCTGTGTTCAGTCTTTTTGCCTGTGAAACCTTTTCTTCTTCTCTTTGATGCTTCTCCGAACACGCTTTCGCATTCCATCTTCCTTGGTAGCGTCTCTCGATATCACGGACATCTTGGTGAAATCGTTCACCCTGCTCTTCACTATAGCCTCCCAAGTTTTCAGGAAAATAGTCGCCATGGGAGTGTAAGAAGCGAACTTTCAAGCTCATCTTGCAACCTTGAGCTTTATATGCAGCCAACATGCGTTGTACATTGGTTTTGTAGAGAGGGTCTTTAGTGTTCCCCAAAAACTTGTCCACTACGTCTTTGAAGGAGTCCCATGTTTCTTTTTCTTTTTCTCCCATTTCCCTCTTTGGAGAAAAACAGTGAATTCCTTCTCTCGGTGCCTGTACCACGAGAATGCTGTTCCAGGTGACAGCAAGTTTTTATTTTATAGTCTTGACCCTAGCAATTCGGCTGCATCTTTGGAAAGGCCTAAATCTCTAACTAAGTCATTGAGCTCACTCTGAGAAAAAGGTTGGGGTCCCTCATCAACAGAAAAATCTGAGCTGGATTCATCCTGGGGTGGTAATATAGTTCTGTCCTCCGAATCACTCTGTATATCAGCCAAACTGGAAGGTGGGAAGGGAACTGGTATTTCAGAGCTATGAGGCACTGGACGAATAGCTGAATTAAGGTTTGGGTAAGATATTTTCTTTTTATTTTTTGTATTAAAGCCTTTCACATCTACCGAACAGAAATAACAATCAGTCGTGTGGTTTTGCTGTTCACNCAGGATGTAAACTGAGTGGCTTATACATCAACCAAGATCCTGAACTTATTTAGCATGTTGAGACATGATCAAATCTGACAGCAGGCTTGTTTATACTCATTCCTATTGCCCCAAAGAACATGTCCAAACATGCTCAACCAAGCCAGTAAGATTCCTCACCTTTCACTACAAACAAAGTAAATGTGTTGGGACATGATCGCCTGAGCTCCTCACACCACCAAACCCACCCTACCAACCCCTTCCACTGCCCCCCCATTTTCTATTTGTATTGTTTTTAGATTCACTCTTATAAATATTATTTTAAAGTAAGAAATAATTATTGGATATGGTTTTTAGAATCAACAATAGGATACAAGATTTCATGTTGAAGGGAAATTTCACGCAAAATTAAACTAAAAATATGAGTTTTGCAAAAAAATTGACATGATGGATTTTTTTACTATTATTTCCGGTTTTAATGAGTAAATATCTATAAGAAATAGTAAAAATATCCTATGCAGTTTTTTGGTTGCAGACCCGTGTAATCAGTTGTGATCTGTCTCCTTCATATGCTGTACTGCACTTAATATATCCATATCAACATACCAGTACTCAGAGAATAGACACAGTTCACAAAGACAAAAGACTTACTTTTTCTTCATGATGAACTACATAACATACGTTCACGCAAGGTGTCAGTGCTTAGCTATCCATTTCTACATTAACCCCAAGTTTCATGATTGCTTGTATGTCTAATGCCTGCAAAATTTTCTTTGTATAGAGAGAAATAATCCTACGTTCAATTTCTCTTGGATAATTCAAATTATGCAAGACACGAGGAAGTGATGAGCATGGTAAATCTTGAAATTTTCACCCCAAAGATTTTTTTATTGTTGTTATCTGCTCAAAGTATATACAGGCTTCAACCTCCACATCATATAACTGAATTTCGCCTTTGTGTAATACTCCTTGAAGCACCCGAGAGAGCACAGTCCCACATCACATATCTTGCATTTCAACTGCCTTTCAATTTGAACATCTTCCAAACAACGTTTCATTGCCATTGTATGATAAGATGAAACTACAATGTTCAAATTGACTGTGAACTCACAGAAAACTGAATGCACTCTGTATCTCAAGCGTTTGTTTGCAACCATAGAAAGAGAAATATTCTCTTGCAGCTGCAGTGGCAGGGCTTGGCACTGAATTAGGCCATGTTTCACTTTTCTCTCCTATAGTCGAAGGATGGGATATCTGAAGGGTGTAACAAAGATGTGAAACTTGCCAGCAAGGAACCAAATGGCTTTATTGCTTCCAGCTGTTATATGGCTCCAGTGAATGTGAAAATATTTCAAGTGTTACAAGCAGGAGTGATTTTATAATGCAGAAACACTTTGTGAAGAAGTGGGAAATTATTTTTACAGTCTGCATCAAAATTACAAGAAAAAATAAAAAGTAGTTTATAACTTTTTTGTCTACATATTTTCAAATCTTACGCCATAATATGCGACAGTGTTCTTCGCTAATAAAAACCAAGTTCATTCCATTCATCTATATAAATAAAAATGTAACGGTTCGTTTTTACCGATCTTAAATCTCCAAAAGTTCTTCACCGATTGCTTCAAAATTTTGTCACAACGTTGCATTCAAATACACGCGTTTTTATATACCTATTATATAGATGTCACACCTGTGACAGGTAAAAACATGCTTCTTTTGAAAAACAGAATTGGAATTTGGAATTCAGAAGAGTCACCCGTATGGAAACGCTAGAACAGACCGTTGCGTAGGAAGTAACAATAGCGATACTGTATCGAATCTCCATGGTTACGACGAATACACAGAGCGTTCCCACAGAGACAACACAATAACAATGGGTCATTGCGTAGGAATCGCGGAATCAACAAAGCAGCGTTTCCGCGGTTATGACAAAGGCTCATTTGCGTAGCAGCGGCCGAGGGTATAAAAGGGGGTTGAATTCGTTCGCCCAGTCAGTCTTGGAATAGCTGCTGCTGAAGAAGGTTGGAACCTAGACGCCAAGAGATACAGAAGTATTGGCCGAGAGATTGTGTAACCAGTAACTCTAATACTGCAAGTGGCGATAATTGTAAAGTGTGCAAGTGAATTACAATAAAGATTCGCTATAATTAATATGGCGTAAAGTTATTTGTAGCGTGACATACCCAAACACACTACATGCATTACTGACGTGTGCAACACGTCACATCCACATCAAATTCGTGCATTGTTTGCAATCATATTGACCGCCTGCTCTCCTTCATCTCCAACAGAGTTATGGGAGAAATATAAATCGCATGTGGCTGAAGATATTTTCCATCGAATACGCAAGGAAAATTCCAATATGAACATGGATTTCACAGCAGAAATCTGCAACAGAGCGTTGATAATGATTGAAGATTTGTGCTTAGAAACTGCGAACAAAGTTCTCAATCAATTGGGAATGCCATCACCAAATCGATCTGCCGCTGCTTCGTTCAATGTAGAATTGTGTCGTGAACAAAATTACAGCACGGGTGATCTTTTGTCATATGTGCAATCAAATATTCCTAAGCTAACGCATGAGCAAAATAATGCAAACTGTCAATAATGGGGTTGCAGAATTCTTCTTCTTAGATGCGCCAGGAGGAACTGGCAAAACGTTCCTAATTAGATTGATTCTGGCAGCAATTCGATCCCAAAATGACATAGCCTTCTCTCTTGTGTCGTCCGGAATAGCTGCGACATTGCTACCAGGTGGAAGAACTGCTCATTCCACTTTGAAATTGCCATTGAACATGCAATTCATTGAAACTCCCACATGCAACATTTCCAAAGGATCAGGCATGGGAAGTGTATTGCAGAAATGCAAACTTATTGTTTGGGATGAATGCACAATGGTGCACAAAAAATCGCTCGAGGCTCTTCATCGATCTTTGCAAGATTTGCATGGAAACATCAGACCATTTGGGAACACATTAATATTGCTTGCAGGAGATTTCAGGCAAACATTACCTGTAATTCCTCAGTCGACACCAGCAGATGAAATAAATGCTTGCCTGAAATACTCTACTTTGTGGCGACACGTAAAGACGTTAAAATTAACTACAAATATGCGTGTCCAGCTGCAAAACGATTGATCAGCTGAGATATTCTCACATCAATTGCTGGAAATTGGGAATGGAAAGGTGCCGGTTGATCTGACCTCAGGACGAATTTCGTTGCCTCATAACTTCTGCAATTTAGTGACGTCAAAAGAAGAATTGGTTGAAAAAGTATTTCCCAATATTCAAACCAATTATAAGAATCACGATTGGCTGAGTGAACGAGCTATTCTTGCAGCCAAGAAGAAAGACGTCTACGAACTTAACAATATCATTCAGTCTAACATTCACTGCGAGGCAGTCACATACAAGTCCGTCGACACTGTTATGGAAGCAGATGAAGTGGTTAATTATCTAACAGAATTTTTTAATTCACTCGATCTGTCACAGCAACGCGTGGCCGGGTACAGCTAGTTTGACATAAAAATTGTATTAGATTCAACATTTTCAAATACAGTGCAAGATCCCTAACAGGAACAGACATTTAAATGCAGAGCAGCAACAGGCATTTAAATGCACACCAGCAGCAGGCATTTAAATAAACTCTGGCCAGCTCAAGCTACCACCATTTCAAAAGTCTGGCGTTTAAAGGTTAAACATGAATAAAGGAAAGATACATGGACTTTGGGACTTCCACTTGCCTTATAAAACCTCAATACTTACAAAATAAGTTTCTATAAAATTACAGAATTTTGACAATACATTATAATGTCGGTAAAGTCATATTTGTTTGTTTTGTGTGGTGCATATTACTGAGCAACATTTAAAACAAATATTGAAACATATTGTGTTAAAGATTTACATTTTTAAAAAGTTAACAATCCAGTGTATATTTAGAAGTTTGTGCTTGCTTTTGAGCAGTAATGAAGATGAAAATTCCTAAGAAACCTCCCATGTGCATGAACAGGTCCTGGGAAGAGATTTTCACCTGTTGTGGAGTGCTCTGACAAGAGGTGGCTGTTGTAAATGGATGGGAAGAAACAGTCTTGTGTAGGGGACCAGATTTTGATTTCTGGCAGAGGCAGGAATTATTCTCTTAACTACCACATCCACTTTGGCTAACTGATCCAACCAATCAGCGGGTGCTAAAAATTTTCTCGGCAGTAAAGTGCCTGGGGCAACCAGCCGTCAGTATCTAGTGCAGAGGTTAAGAATGCATTCTTGCGCCTACACAGCATGGTGCTTAATTAAACACAGAAAACATTTACATTGCTTCTAATGTAAAAATTACTCCTGAAATTTACAAACTTTCAGTGATTGAGTGACAATAGGTGGTGTATTGATTGGTAATCAGGTTTATTGGACACTTTATCACACAACTCATGTCTACACTTTACAAATGACTACCACACACAGACTAGTGTCCTCAGTCATAATCTTCATTATGCTGCTTGGTAGCAGCTTCCAGCGGTGGACATTTCCCTTCCGTTGGGTTCTGAAATCGTCTTCAGCCTCAGCTACTGCAACACCACTTCCTGTAGTTCCTCCATTGTTGTATGCACACATTGTTTAGCGATGGCTCTTGTTGCCTAGCAACAGGCGTGTTTTCAGAGCCATTCCCTAGCAGCAGCTGTCTCTGCTGGCTTCAGAATTCAGGCTTTCAGTAGACATGGCACAATACTTTCTTCAAAACCCATAATCCTTTGTGTTCCAATACCTTACAGCTCAGCTCTATACAGACTGACCCAAAGCCAGTTAATTTAAAATATTGCTTTCTTAACAGGAATGATCAGATTCAGATATCCAAGTCACAGCATTGGTCGTTGAATGTGGTAGATCTCATTTTGAATAATTTATGTAAATACAGTAAGTAATAAAACATTTCTAATGTTTTTTGCGTGCATTTTACTAACCAGTTAATCAGTAATGCGGATATTATATTGCATGGTTATATTCACAGTCTAATGCATAAACATGTGTTTATCAAATTGTTGTTGGGAGGCACATCTTGGAGTGCACTGTGTCTGTTCATTATTTGCTTTTCTGATTCTTATCCATCCCTGTGCAACTCCATCGACATACACTAGGTTCCGACGTTTCTTCTTTCTGCTTAATTTCACAACATGTTTTGGCCTAACAGGAGTCTGCTCTGCTTTCGTTTTGATGTACGAGACACTTCTAGATATTTCATGTTCATGCCATGCCTTTGTGTCCAACCACTTATTTGGTTTATATTTGTTGAATATGTTGATTTCATTTTCTCTGGTGTTGTATCTGCTCTGCTTGGTTCTGCATGTTTCCCACATATTTTCTGTCCAACTTTATAGCCATCTTCTGAACTGTTCATGTGTATGTATGGGACAAGGGAAGAAATTTTCCAGGCAACAACACATTTCATGTTGGTACCCAAATCTTAGTTACTGTCTTCCAGAATGAAGGAATTATATTACTTTGATTTTAATTTTTGTTTGTATGACAGCCCACGTCTGCATTCCCTTGTTATTAAACTGATAACTAAAGTAATTCTAAACTTATTTTGTTGTCTTAAGAAATTAATGGCCCAGGTATGAAAGATTTTAATGCAATGCAGTGTGTAGAACACTGTATTTTAAGTCCATTTATGATCAGTATATTTGATATTGCTGTCAGAAATAAAGATGGGAGTGGACATGACTGAATTTTACTGGTAAATGTTGCAAAATTTGTTATATATTTTATGCATGGCTTCCAAAATGCCTCAATTTTTGGCAGTTATTCCAGCCCTATTCTATATTTCATTTGGTTTCTAACTAAAGTGCAAGTTTTAAGAACCTATCACTGTACATTCTATTCAAAAGGTTGACCATTTTTATTGTAATCGTCTATTCCAATTACTGAACACATATTTACCTACATTTATTTTAATATCACTTGGAAGTATGGTTCGGCCACTTCAGTTTTACTAAAGAAAGTGACTCTTTTTAATTCTAGTCTCACTTCCATGTAATAAATATTGGAATGTCTTCCAAAATTACAATTTTATTTCCTTAGTTCTTTTAATGTGCTGTTTACCATCCCACAACTTGGTTCTTACCAACATCATTTAATATATTTGTTATATTCACATTTTTAAAAAATTAGAATTTCATATGCATTTAAAATAAGAAATTTGCTATTGCTATAGTAGAATTTAAAAGAAATATTTCTGGGAGAATTCAGTATTTTTCTTTGGTATCCATTGTCATATCTTGATATTATTTTAATACAAAACTGTTCATCAGAGAGTTTGTAGGATAAAGAAAATAGAATGATATTTTGGCCACCAAGGAAGATAAGGTATATCTGTCAGTCACAACTTTTTATTTTCCATAATTAAGTTTGTTGAAATATTACTACATTACATGTTTCAATCTTTTTACCATCGTCAGGCATTTTACAAACATGTGGTAGTGGGTACCTATCTAATTAGACTGAATTCCCATGTATACTGTTCCTAGGAATTTACATGAAAATGCTATTAAATTGGTTCTTAGACAAATTAGTTGTGAGAGAGTGGATAAGATTTATCTGGCTAAGCTTAGGGTCCGGTTGCAACCACTTGTGATCATGGTAATGAGCCCTCAGGCTTATCAAAAGGCAGTAAATTCCTTGGGCAGGTGTGAAATCATTAGATTATTAACAATAATTTTTTAAAACACTTCATCATTATCATTGTTATCATCATCATCATCTGTAAGGTTTGGCTTTTTAGCCCATTCAGTCCTCAAACATAAAGCCATAATCTTTCAGGTTTGTAAGTAACCCTTTTTACTGAAGCAGGTCACCATCCTGTTGCAAAACCTGCTATATTGGAGAACTGGGATTTTTATTCAGGGTTTTCTTCCCTTAGACAGGTTGCCTACCATGGCTAATGAGTCCTGTCTACCTGCCACTTAACCCTGGGAAGGGACCCTTGCCAGGTGCTGCCCACCGGGCCAGTGGGAACTGGAGCTCACATAAGGAAGGGGCGCCACTCTCTGCAGTTGGACTGTCTGTTGTGAGAGTTCTAACATGCTACCTTAGATATTTTGTTAAGGTTCGATAGTTTGTCATTACTTACCAGTTTTTAACAAAACATAAAATTGTGAGGCACAGAACTGTAGAAACAGGCATATAGGCCTCTAGCTTTTTCAGGAGCATTGTTGTGGAGACAATTTCAGATATTTGGTTCAGAAATTGCATATGTGTGAGCCAGATTGTTTGTGATACTTCTGTAATAATGGGATTAATGAATGGCGGTGTTCTAAGGGCCTTTTGGGGATGTTAACCAAGTCCATGGACCTGGTCCTTCTTAAGAAGCCACCAGCTGCTTAGCTACTCAAGAATTTTCTAACATTTTATGGAATTTGAAGATTCTTCACCATGTTCACAAGAGTCCTCCACTAGATACTGAGCCAGATCAATCCAATCCATTACTGCATCCTATCTAATATCCATCTTAATATTATCCTCCCATCTATGCCCAGGCCTCTATGCCTCTCCTCCCACATTCATGCTGCAGGCCCATCTCGACTTGGAACATATTCTGATTATATTTGGTGAAGAGAAAGAATTAAAAGCTCCTGATTATTCAATTTTTAATGGTATGCTACAATTTGAAAATCATTCTTTTTGCATTCAGGTTACACATACAACCCAAAAGAAGCGCGCATACGAAAGGTTCTTCGTGCAGTGACCCGTGACCTGAGAAGCCATAAGAATGTAAAGGGCCGTAAGGCAAATACCACCCGGCGTGTGAAACAGGCTGGCAGCCACCACAACCCTGTGCCATCAAGGGTAAGTCAACCCATACCATACACAGTGAAACTTTTCTTAGATACTGCCTTTATTCAAAGATAACCCCTTAATGTTTTTCTTTTTCTTGGGGTGGGATAAGACTGAGTCTTGGTATATTGGCTGCTATTTGGCCTTATGTTCCAGCCCCGGATGATAGATGACAAACCTTGCAACTCATCAGATTCAGATAATAAAAGGTCAGGGAATAAACTAAATTTATATGGTCATAAGAGCACATCAGTTGCGTGTGAAGTGAAGGAAATTCCACAAATTATTTGTCTCCAGAAGATCAAATCATGGCATTATAAAATTTACCTGTTATGAGATCTTAATAGAGGTGGATGGCCAGCAATGATTATTGTCATATGTTGGGTATATGTTACGCAACAAATAAAGCCGTATTGAATGTAGCGAATTTATTGCACATTCGCTCTTACACTCACACAATTCACAATTACAATTACTGCCATTGGCAGTGTCACAATTACATCCACTGCTCTCAGCGACTGCTAGACTTCTGCCGCACTCAGCAACTTCACGATCCGCACTGTCACTCCTAATCACACACTCTTGCTCACATACTGCTCAGCCAGCTTTTTATACCGTTCCCTGTTGCCTCATATTACCAGCGGTGTCCCCTGTTATGTCACAGTGGGAAGTGCTATTACGTCACCGCAGGGGAGGGGGGGGCGGAGTGTTGACTGGCCTGTTACCATAGCAGTGACAGCGCTCTGACGCGGTGACATAACGGCGTCAGAGCGCTGGTGTGGGAGGGGGTGTCCTGCATAGAGCAAATGCATCACATTATCTTATGTACAGGTAAAGATTTTTAGCTCTGTAAAGAATATTCAGTTTAGTGAGGTAAAGTGATATCAACTTTTTCATTTGATATTACAGTCTTCTGGGATATATCACCATGTAGGTTGCAGGTATAGGTGACAATATTTTGTAGCAACTTGCTGTCTCCATCTTCAGTGAAGAAGAGTGACTCTTCTACCCTAAAGATGGTTCCTCCAAAATGTTAGTACCCACCTACAAGACTGTATTGTGATGTTCCAGAAGACCACAATCTCATACTCATTCACATGAAAACCTTCTTGCTCATAGAGTAATCATACTTCTGTAACTGTTACTTTGTTATATGTTCAGTAGCTGACTGACTGCAATATCAGACATTGCTAGATATTCTGGCTGTGGTTTTATGGTTTCCCTCAATATGTCTGTACAAAGGCCAGGATAATACTTTCTTTGAAAGTTACAGTATTTATGATTTTCGTGTTTCCTCCCATTCAAAGTGCTATCAATAGTGCTATCAGCTGCAATGCAGTTACTCCTCAAGGCAACTTCAGCACTCAGTGAAACACTAGTCACATGAAAACACACCACACATAATTAAAGTCAATAGGAAAAGTGTTACCAAGGTTACCCTCCATCCAGGGATTGTCCAAAGATTACAAACAATAGGCATCCTTAACTGGACTCACGCAAGCAGAGGGACTCATATGAGGACCCTCTACTAAACGAGCGAAGGAACTGTTGAAGTTAAACAGGAACCACCTACGATGGGTGGTACGACTACTTAAGGACACTGTCACCTCAAAAGACACCTCTTCAAATTGCGACTAAGTAACAGTCCAACTTGTGAAGGGTGTCAATAAAAAAACGAAACAGCCACACATATCCTGTGCGAATGTGAGGCATTAGCTTGTTTAAGATTGCGCCACTTGAGTCAGCATTTCATGGAACCAAGTGACTATTTTGACGTCCCCACATACAAAATCCTGTGCTTCATGCAAAGTGCAGGATTGTTGAGGGGATAATCAGAAGGGGAGGCACAACAAATCACTGTGGTCGCAGTGCAAGGGCCAAGAAGGCCCACGCCTTATACATTCATTCATTCATTCATTCATTCATTCATTCATTCATTCATTCATTCATTCATTCATTCATTCATTCAAGGGGAAACTGCACTGTAAGCCTTGTGCTTATTAATAATAAAGCAACTGAATAGTGTCTATGTTATTATAGGCTAGACAGAAACATTGGGCTGTGGAAATTAATGCATCGGGATGAATTCCTTTCAGGAATGAGGAATTTGAATATTAAGAAATACATCATACTACAGTAAGATTTTAATGGTAGACAGAAAATACAGAATTTAATTTAGGTCATCAATAATAATTCTGCCAGAACAGTTGGAAGATAATTTGATGATGTGTTCTTAATTATGAATGTAGAGCCTGTTTTTTTACTTTCCATTGTGGTAACATACGTAGCTTGCTGTTTGTGACTGCTCTCCTGAAAGTTTATGAGGTAGATAACTGTAGGATACTGGGATAAGTAAGAATGTGCTATTGATTGAACGGCCTAAATTATTTTTGTCCTGCTTCATACCAATAAGACCTAGCAACAAACGTGTGCATGTAAATTAATATTTATGATATGGTACATATTTAAAAAGCAGATATGTTTCAGTACCAGGAACACTTCCAGAATGCTGCTAATGCACATAAAGTATGGAAGTGTTCTGATTATTCAACCGAAATGAGAGCGATGGGTGGTTGGATTAACAAAAATGTCAGATATATGGAAATGGGTTGGGGAAGGGTGCAAAACAAATTGGAAATTTAACAGGAGTCCCATGTAGGTATGAAATCGTTTTCATTTTATGGTAGTTCTACACTACATCTAGCATAATAGAGGACAGACCTATTAGTTAAAGAAATAAATTCCAATTAAATAAACACAACAGACCTAATGCTATAGTAACTGAAGATTGGATAATCAGGACACTGCTGTATTTAAATCCTTTAAATTAAACATTTGTGTCTGTAATAGCAAATCCAGATTGTAATCCAGTTAATCCTTCAATTAATTTCAGGGAAAAGAATCAATGTATATCTTGGATATGATTCCCATGGCTAACTTTGCAGCACCTATTCTTATAACTATACCAGCAGCAGCCACTACAACAGCAACCCAGAAGGAACAAACATCTGCCACATCGTCAAACAAGAACAGCAAAAACTCGTCTGCCAGCACACAGCGAACTTCATTAGAAATTACCAGCACTCTGAGTGACAATTCTGGTGGTGTCATTGGAACAGAGAATACAAACAGTCCCTTTCCATCATTCAAGCAAGCTTTTGGTTCCGAGGAAATTGGCTGTTTTTCGTATGAAGAACTTGTCAGCAAAACCATTCATCAAACTGAGAATCACCAGTCTACTAGTAATGAGGTTAGTATCAGTTCTGCTCTGAATACAACTATTATATGGGTCCATTGCAGATTCCCACTTTTGAATCAACTATATTTTATCGTCAGAACCAATTCCAAACCGTTAACCAGTACTCAGAGTTCTACAGCTATTACAATTACAGTGCGTTCCTCCAACACTTCAGCTGCAGCCATAAGCAGTTCTTGCATCTCAATCCATTGACCAGAGGAGTCTACATACCCCAATAGTCATTCACTCATGACTGAACTGACTGGAAATGTAACTTGCATATTCTATGTATTCAAGTCCTTACCTGCCAAAGACATTATTAATAGATTGAAAAATACCATGAATATAAGCAAGGTTCATAATTTTAGAAGAGAAATTCATTTCAAAATCCTGCACTATGGTTTTTGCAGGCACTAATGTACAACCCCATGTTAGGTGGGCCCCTTGTCATCATGGCATGGCACATCCTCAGGTTGCAGATGGAAGAGACGGCTTCCGGGTATGGAGGGTAGCTGCAAATATATACTGAATAAGCAGTTGTGGACAGGCGACAAGGGGTGGTCTTCCTGCTTGGGGGTTGGGCATGGGGCTAACAACTCCTTACCATGAAAAATAAACTTGTTACGAAAGATCACATGAAGCCTCAGACCTGGACGGATTCCTTGGATAAACTGAAGCGAAAGAAAATTTGGTACCTGGAATGTTAGAATTACATATAGGGCAGTGGCGGAAGAAATCTCAAAATATAAGTTACATTGTGTACGAGTACAGGGTGTCAGATGGCATGGAGGTGGCACCAAACCAGCAGGAGACTATACATTTTTCTGTGGAAAGGGAAATAAGAATCATGAAGTAGGTACAGGTTTTTTCGTACATAAGAGAATTGTATCAGCAGCTGAGAGGGTAGAGTTCGTTAGTGATAGGATGTCGTGCATAATACTAAGAGGTCGCTGGTGTGATATGATCGTTCTAAATGTACATGTCCCAATAGAAGATAAAATTGATGACAGGTTTTATGAAGAACTAGAACATATATTTGCTAACTTCCCGAAATACCATATGAAAATTTTGTTCGATTTCAATGTCAAGGCAGGTAGGGAAGATATTTTCAAACCAACAATTGGGAATGAGAGTTTACACGAAATTTGTAATGATAATGGAGTTAGAATAGTAAACTTTGCCACATCCAAAAATCTTTTTGTCAAAAGTATGAAGTTCCCACATCGTCACATTCATAAATTTACGTGGACATTTCCTGATGGGAAGACACACAACCAAATTAACCATATTTTGATAGACAGGAGACGGCACTCAAGTATACTTGATGTCCGATCATTCAGGGTAGCAGATTGTGATACTGACCACTACCTGGTGGTGGCAAAGGTTAGGGAAAGACTGGTAGTGAGCAAACAAACAACTCACAGAGTTCATATGGAGAGGTTCAATCTCAAGAAATTAAATGAGGTAGAGGGTAAAGAGCAGTATTGTGTTGAAATCTCAAATAGGTTCGCGGCTTTGGAAAACATGGAAACTGAGGTGGATATTAATAAAGCTTGGGAAATTATTACAGAGAATACAAAAATGTCTGCCAAAGAGAGGCTAGGTTATGAACCAAAGAAGCATAAGCCATGGTTCGATGAAGGATGCTCAAAATTATTAGATCAAAGAAAGCAGGCCAAATTTCAGTGGTTACAGGATCTAAGTGAGTTAAATGGGGATAATCTGAACAATATAAGACGGGAAACCGGCAGGCATTTCAGGGAAAAAAGAGGGAATATCTGAAAGACAAAATTGATGAGCTTGCAATGAACAGTAGAACAAGAATATTAGAGACCTGTATAGAGCAATAAATGACTTCAAGAGGATTTACCAACTTAGCAGTAACTTATTGAAATATGAGAATGGTGATCTGCTTGCAGATTCACACAACATTTTGAATAGGTGGAGGAACTACTTCTCTCAGTTATTGAATGTACATAGGGTCAGTGCTGTTAGGCAGACAGAAATCCATACAGCTGAGCCATCAATACCTGATCCTAGCCCTTTTGAGGTTGGAATTGATATTGCAAAATTGAAAAGTTATAAATTGCCAGGTAGTGATCAAATTCTGACAGAACTTATTCAAGTAGGAGGTGAAATATTATATTCTAAGATCCATAAGTTAATTAATCCTATTTAGAATAAGGAAAAATTGCCTGATCAGCGGAAAGAGTTTATTATTGTACCGGTTCAGAAGAGGGGTGACAAAACTGACTAATAATTATCAGGGGATATCACTGCTATCAACTTCATACAAAATTTTACCTAATATTCTTCTCTCAAGGTTCAGTCCATACATAGACAAGATTATTGGGGATCATCATTGTGAGTTTCGACTGATCAGCTCTTTTGCATTCGTCAGATACTGGAGAAAAAGTGGTAGTACAATGAGACAGTACATCAGCTATTCATAGACTTCAAGGAAGCATATCATTCAGTTAGAAGGGAAGTATTGTACAATATTCTGATAGAGTTTGGTGTACCCATGAAGCTAGTTTGCTGATTGAAATATGTTTAAATGAAACTTGTAGTAAAGTCTGTGTAGGTAAACGTTTGTCTGATAATTTTCCTATCCAGAATGGTCTAAAACAAGGAGATGCTTTATTGCCAATGCTTTTCAACTCTGCTTTATAATACACTGTTAGGAAGGTCCACTAAAACCAGGTGGGACTGAAATTAAATGGGACACATCAGCTGTTAGTCTGTGCTGATGATGTGAATCTACCAGGTGATAATATAGGTAGTCTGTGCTGATGATGTGAATCAACTGGGTGATAATATAGGTAAGTTAAAAAAAAGTATAGCTATCCCTGTAACAGGCCGTGAGATGCTGAGGGTCCCACATTATTGAGACAATCAGCACAAAGATGGTGGTAAGGTTGTCAGCCTTACGCACTGGCCGCCCTTTACTCCCCAGGAAAATTATTTAATTAATTCCTGTTACTCATTTCTGTTAGAGGCTGAGTCGACCCCAGGGCCATGGTGCCACCGGAAGGATTAGGTCAATTGAAATAAATCTGATGACCCCATCGGGATTTGAACCCGCAACCTTCTGGCTTGTAGGATAATATAGATACCATAAAGAAATATACGCAGGCTTTAATTGATGCCAGTCAGGAGGTTGGTCTAAAAGTAAACACAGAGAAAACTAAGTGTATGTTGCTGTCTCATCACCAGAATGCAGAGCAAAATCATGACATAAAGATAGGAAACAGATGTTTTGAAAATGTGGCACAGTTCAAATATTTTGGAACAACTATAACAGATCAAAACCTGATTGAGGAGGAAATTAAGAGGTGATTGCACTCGGGTAATGCTTGCTACCATTCAGTCCAGAACCTTTTGTCTTCTTGTCTGTTGTCCAAAAACATAAAAATTAGAATATACAAAACTATAATTTTGCCTGTGGTTCTGTATGGGTGTGAAACTTGGTCTCTGACATTAAGGGAGGAACATACACTGAGGGTGTCTGAGAACAGGATGTTGAGGAGAGTATTTGGACCGAAGAGAGATGAAGTGACAGGAGGTTGGAGAAAACTGCATAATGAGGAGCTTCATAACTTGTACTCTTCTACAAGTATAATTAGAATGATCACGTCAAGGAGGATAAGGTGGGCAGGTCATGTAGCACGAATGGGGGAGACGAGGAATGCATATAGGATATTGGTGGGAAAGCCAGAAGGAAAGAGGCGACAAGGAAGACCAAGGCATAGGTGGGTGGACAATATTAAAATGGATCTTAGAGAGGTAGGATGGGATGAGATGGATTGGATTGATCTGGCTCAAGATAGGGACCAGTGGAGGGCTCTTTTGAACACAGTAATGAACCCTTGGTTCCAGAAAATGCTGGGAAGTTCTTGAGTAGCTCTACAATTGGCAGCTTCTCAAGAAGGGCTCAGCTCCATGAGTGACTGAATGTGCAACCTCTGTGGGAAATTCTGTGATCTAGAAAAGTCTCCTTCTTTATACGGAGAATAACTTGCTTTGTGCATAACACCAATATTTAATATTTTGTGTATTTGCATAATGTGTTATATGCATAATGTTGCAATAAGCAAGCCATACATATATGACACCTCATTATGGTGTATATTAAATAGCCGTGCTGTACCAAAGAGGGGGCAGCAGACAGAAGAATTTCTAACCCATAGACATCATAACTTTGTAGATCATGTCAACAAACAAATATTCTCACTGGTTGTCCTGGATAAAGAAAAATTAACCACTGTTTCCTTTTGTATTGCACAAACCTCTGGATTTCATGCTTTTGCCATAACGATATTTTTAACTATGTACAGAAAAGAAAATAAATTTATGCTTTCTGTATGTTAGAAATCTAGTATAATACATTTTACATGCTGGGCCATAATTATTTTTATTACAAAACAGTTAGTAGAATAATATTAAAGGATAATAATGAAGCGTAAGTACCCTACAGAGGATCCTTCAGGTTGCATATAGGTTCTCGTGATCACAGGACAGGGCGAGCAGGGGAGGACGAAGAAATCAGCAAGGCGGAAATACCCAAACAGAAATAACCAAATCAAATATTAACAAAGAATAAATATAATATATTAATAAAGAAAGAATACAAACATAATGTAAATACCTGTATGAAAATGATTGCAGAGTTCGCTCTTCTAAGATAGAATATTATGTAGAGAAATTAATTTAGACGGTCGAGGATGACCTCGACCGGTGGTCCGAAACGAGAACAACCTACCCCATCGACGGTTGGAAAACCAAGAGCCTAGAGCTCCAGATGTTAGGCCGCTAAGTCGGCTCGGAAGGGGAAGGAGAGAAGGGGACAGTAGAGAAAGTAGAGGGGAGAAGTGCGCACACAGACCACGGACAGGAGCCGACGTCACAATATAGCCCCCATTATTTTAGTACAGACAAAAGAAAACTTACACAAATAATTTATAGGCACATTTGCATTGTTTATAAGAAAAGTATCTGAAATTAGAAAAGAAAATTGATATTCCGCGTTGTGCCTGTGACAAAAATTAGTTTGTATCTCTCAAAGATGTTATCACACTCAACTTGTGATTGTAGTGTTGAACACATCTGTTTCTGTGAGAAACTGCCATGAGACTGCCATTTTACAAGCTGAGAAGGTCTGAATCATGTGATATCACGTAGAATGGCCCTGTTTCATTCAGAGTACAGATGCAAAGACTGATACAAGTAAACAGTTTGTTGAAGTGACACTTATCTGACTTTGGTCATATTTATTTCAAGTTCATTTCAGTTCTTCATATATTTAATCCCAAAGTTTCATACTCTCATATTTGCCCATCTTGCACCAAAGAACACATTAATATCATGCTTAGGAAGTAAATATTTTTAATTCTGAGTAAATTCTTGAGATGTACGTAAGAAACAGAAAAAGTCTGGCCAAGGATTATTTGTATTTTCAGTATAATGTAAAATTCCAATCCCTTGTAACTATTCTTATTGTACTGTATCCACACAAGTTACAAGGTGTATAAAAATGATGTAAATTATTTTGTGCCATTCATGCAAATATACCAGGTAACTGCACTTGGACCTATTGCATGGTGCCGTGCTGCAGGCAGTATACCCACATGTACCTGTAAAATATTTGTAGAATATTGATTTTAAGATATTTATGCATTTGTTGAGTATTTCACCCATAAAATATGATTAATTGACATCACTCAAGCTACTTGGACCTGTCTTGCATGTGTGGTGGAAACTTCCTGTGGGTCTAAACTTGTCTGTAATTGAGATTAATAGCTATACATTTTCAAAATAGGTCATCTGCTGAAACATGCCAATCTAGCAGAAGAAACACCATCAGAATGTTATACAAATAATAAAGCAAAGCAAATGTTGTCTATTCCCATAATATGTGTGTGATTTATCTCATTTCATATCAAGTGATATCCTGCATTATTTAAAGTGAAAATATAAGCAAACATGGTAAGATTATACAAATAACAAGTCTCAAGTCTCCCTCCTATTCCCAATGACTCAAATGAGTGTGTACTGTGCTTGATTCACATTCCTCATGTCTTGAGAGGGGGAAAAAAATTTCCATTCACCAAATCACCCAGACCACTACCACTGGTTCCTTTGTGTCCTCAGAAATTCGTAGGACCTCTACAAAGAATCGTAACTGTAATGCCTGACTGAGACCCTTCCTGATACATATGATCCCAAGCTATGAAAGCGAAAGTTCTCTGCTGAGTGCCTAGTCATAACTTGGGATTGACAAAGTATGAGAGTATGGTAGGATTCATCTTCCTGTCCTTTGGCACTTTCTGAGAGCACATATTTAGTTGCCAGACAACACCCCATTTACCAGAATGCATTGTTTCTTGTTCAAGGCCAGTGGATACCTGAACATTTTCTGTGAAACTCCTTCAATGAAAAGCTTTGACTGCCTCATACAAATGCAACAGCACATATTCAGATTGCATATATACATTCAGAATTGTATCTCTTTATCTACAAGAAAAATTCAATAACTAAGGAGATTTATTTCTATTTTACAATATCTACAAAAGCTAAACAGCAACATTTTCTTATGTAGTTTCCACATCCACAGCACTTGTTACATTAGACGACCAGCTTCTTGACATTATCCAAGAACATTTTCATTTTCTTCTGAAGCCAGTGAACACCACATTTCATGCCTTGAAAATCTGCATCCAAAGAAGGTGCTAACAACATAGGAAGAGAGGTTAGGTCAGGTTATCACAAGCAGCTGTAATGGTGGCTTAGTAACACTGGGTATGTAACCTGTATAGTATGTTCCAAGATAAAATTTATCATAAGTTAAATTTGGTGTCACTGCCATTGGGTTCTATGTGAACGGCATTTACTTCAAGGTCCCAAATGCAACTTAACACATTAGGAATATTCATGCACTCAGCAGAAACTGTAGCACAACAAGCAAACGATATGACTCCATTATGTTCTACAAGCATTATGTAGATGATAAACATGCAATCACTTGTTTCCCTTTAAGATCCTCTTCTTATTTGTCTAATACATGCCTCTGTTTCTATCTTTTCCAGAATCCAAACCCACTGGCGTTCAAACTACCACCGTATGAATCTTATGTAGAAGGTTTGCTGCCAGAGTCAGAGTTTATGAATGAGATTCTTGCATTTGACTCTGTTGCGAGTCTAGATAATCAGTTTTAAAGCAAATTTTTTGATAAAATTAAATGTTCTAAAAATGAAATGTGTGTTCAATTGTATTTTTAATTAACCTTTAAACGCCGGACTTCTGAAATGGTGGTAAGGTTGAGCTGGCCGGAGTTTATTTAAATGCCTGTTCCTGTTAGGGTGCTTAAACAATTTTAAGCATTGTGTTTAAAAACGCTCTATCTAACTCAATTTTTATGATAAATGGATGGAATTAACTTTGTTTGTGTATCAGCAAAGAATATAGTGTCACATATTATAACAGAAGATTTGTCGCAGAGCCAAACTTGGCACTGACCTTAATATAGTTGTGTTGTGATGGATTTAATAAAGAAATTGCATACCATCCCATCCTATCTCTGAAAGATCAATTTTAAAATTGTCCACCCACCTACATTTTGGTCTTCCTAGTGGGCTCTTTCCTTCTGGCATTCCCACCAATATCCTATATGCATTCCTCTTCGCCCCCATTCATGCTACATACCCTGCCCATCTCATCCTCCTTGATTTGATCAATCTAATTATATTTGGCGAAGAGTACAAGTTTTGAAACTCCACAATCATATTTTAACTACAATTTTTAATTCCACTGACAAGTGCTGCAAACAAGACAGTGCATCAGCTTACAGCAGCATACAGACAGACCTCTCTGATGAAGGTAACGGTCATATGTTGGCTGAAACACGCTGCACAGTGTTAAACAAGAACAAAGTGACAGTGTGAATGACTAAATAAATAAATTAAAAAAAGCTATCCCTAGAATAGGCCACTGAGGCTCACAGAGTTGTGAGATGTCGAGGCTCCCACATTTTCTAGACAATGGGCTTACAGATGGTGAGGCTGTCATCGTTTTGCGCTGGCTGCCCTTTACACCTCAAGAAGCTTCCTGGTACTCATTTTTGTTAGAGGATGAGTCGACCCATGGGGCCATAGTGCAGCTGGAAAAATTTGGTCAATTGAAAAATCCAGTGACATCGGGAATCAAACCCATGACCTTCCGGCTTGTAGTATAGTGCCTCAACCAACTGTGTTATTGCATGCCCCATCAGTGGTTAAATAAAAACCACAAACTTGGAATATCACTGCAGGAGTTGTGTAAAAGATGGAAAAAATTAACAGTTATGGTAATGTAATGAAATACATAATGAAATAATGTAATGAAAATACTTGCACAACCCATCAGTTAGGGATATAAAGCTGATCAAAGGTGTTCTGCTTCTGAATAACAGAGGCCTTCTCAACCAAAGAAAGCTCACATATTGTATGTATGTATGAAGGGGTAGGCCTACTCGGCCCTTGCACTTAGACCTCAGTGGTCCATTGTTCTTCCCCTTTTTAATTATTCCCTCAGCAACCCCACGCTTCGGATGAAGCGCAGGATTTTGGACGTGGGGGCGTCGAAATAGTCACTTGGTTCCATAAAGTACTGACCCAAGTGATGTAGTCTTAAAGAAGCTAAAGCCTCACATTCACACAGGACTTGTGTGGCTGTTTCATTTTCTATCTGACACCTCTCACAAGTGGGACTATCACTTAGTCCCAGTTTGAACAGGTGTCCTTTGAGGTGACAGTGTCCTGTAAGTAGTCCTACCACCCATCGTAGCTGGTTCCTGTTGAGCTTCAACAGTTCCTTCGCTCTTTTATCAGAAGGTCCTCATATGAGTCCCTTAGCTTGCCTGAGTCCAGTTAAGGATTTCCAGTATTTCTTATGTTTTATGTTAGTCCAGTCCCTGATTGCCTGTTTGGCAACTTCTAGAGAGAAACTTTAATGGCATATACTTCTGCCGGGAATACTGTCATGTACCGCCCAAGACTGAAACTAAGTTTCTGCCTCATACCATGGCAGTACACACCAGCTCCAATGCCTCGTATGTGTCTTGGAACCATCTGTATACCAGATCAGTCCCCCTTTTCTGTCAGGCTGAAACCCGTCTTCCCATTCACTCCTTTCAGGAAATCTGACTGTGAAGGGTTTTTCATATACATGTCTCACTATCATTTTGTCAGACCCCATTTGTAATATGGGTTGTGTTTTCATGTCCTGAGTCATGTCTGCATGGCCGAAACCATCAGATCTAGGTTTCCATTGTCCACAGCACTGGAGACAGTAAATTCCTGCCCTGGCCTCTGCATCCATCTGCATATGCAGTGGGGGGAGTCCAAGGAGTATCTCCAGTGCAGCTGTTGGAGATGTTCGAAATGCCCCTGTAATACCTAAGCAAGCCAACCTTTGCAATTTGCCAAGTTCTGTCTTGCTTGTCTTGAATTTAACTCTGGGCCACCATACTGTGACACCATAAGTAATTATAGGTCTCACAACCGCAGTATATATCCAACGTACAACGTGTGGCTGCAGTCCCCAAGTTTTACCAAACATGTCCCTGCATGTCCAAAAAGCCTTATAGGCTTTGTTAATGACTTTGTCCAGCAGCTTTTTCCATGTAAGTCCACGGCCTAAAGTCCCTCCCGGAGGACTTGTTCCAGGAATTTTTCTGCCCTTAAAAATTCGACGACCTCCGCCGGGTATTTGAACCCGCGTACTACAGGATGAATAAACATGCATGAATGAATGAATGAAGAGTCATGGTGGGAACATTACCTCTAGACTGCGGAGGCCGCTTTCCCATTATGCTAAAACTGTGCTTTCCTGAGCATATGACATACACACACGTCAAAATGGTTAAGGCCTGGAGGAAATAAATAATTAATTACATGGCCTTACTGATATATCATCATAGGTGGGAATTTGCATTACACACATATGACAAAATGTAGTACGCTAAAAAACACACATGTATATACTACGTATTCCTAAAAGACTTATGGAATGAAATTTTGCAAGATCCGTGACATAATGGCCATCCAGGGTTATTATAAAAGGTCATCGCTAGTGTATGTACACATGAAGTTGTCCATGGGAGACGAAGAAAGAGAGAGAAGGAGAATTACTCAGTACCCCTGGCTTTCACCAAAATGGTAGAATGATGTTATATATATATATATCGATAGGACTAAGCAGTTTAGAATCGATTTTGTAATTTATAATAGTGTGTATAGCCGTGAAGGCCGAGAGCGCCGAGAATATCGTGAATATCGTGAATAAGGCACGTAATCATACACTTATAATTTTTGTAGTGGGGGAGACGATCGATAGAAGGTAGTAAGGCCGTAGGGCCTCAGCCCAAGAGGCTCAGGTGCTCTTACATAGCTTTATGTATATGAAGGCCTAGTTTTTGGGATCCCCCCCCCCTGATGAATTAGGTATTCGCTGTTCTCTGAGTGGTATAAGTGCTTGTGACAGAGTAACGTTGGTTTCTAATTAACAGCTATGCAGAGCTAGTTTTACATAAGGCGTAAAGTTGTCGTGTGTAATATCTCGATACATAACATATAGAGAATTGATATTTTTTGGTGGCCGGGGTTTCATTAAATGAACTTCGCTCACATCAGTGTGGCTCGCCTTTCAGAGAAAACAGCACTTGCACAAAACGAGAGGATTTATCACCCAGCATTCCCAACCAATTTACAAAAACGAACAAGTGGGTGCATAAACGAAGGTATACTTCGGATTTGTATTTATTGAGGGATGCCTTGTTCTCGTAGTTTAATAGAAGTTTTGTTCTTGATGGTTATTTGTCTGATTTTCGTACTATTTGACGCAGGAAGTTGAGGCAGTTCATTTCCTTCAGAACACCTGATCTACTGGACTACAGGAAACACATCTCAGAAGACAGTAAGTATCTTCAAAATGCTATACTCTTTAAGCCTGGTTTCAAACAGCACACTGGCCTGCAACTACAGAAATGGTTAGCAGGTATGTCAGAATTTCCAGTGTACATGGGAAACTCACTTCATGTGAGGAGGGTGTGATCACAGCATCTGCCTGTTTAGAAACATACATACATACATACATACATACATACATAGCTACATGGTTTCACAGATCCTTTGTCCGGAAACCGGACTGGATATTGAACTCGTCACAGCCAAACTGACATTGCAATGTGCAACCTGGTCTAGACAATAAAATATTCAACAATTATAACATTGATAGGTACAACAGTATAAAAATCAGTCATCTTACAATTCTTTGCTAGAACATAGTCTTAGAAAACAGACTGTAACAGTGCATAAAATTACCTACTTGCCATATATTCACCTACCGAGTAAAATGCTTTTGAAGCCAGAAAATCCTTTAGTCTTTGTTTAAAAATATTAATATTGTCTTTCAAGATATATATGTTTTGTGGCAGGTTGTTAAATATTCTAATAGATGTAAAATGCACACCCTTCTGAATGGAAGATAATCTCACAGAAGAAACATGTAGCCTATTGTGCCATCTGGTACTTATTTGATGTATGTTATCGTTTGCTTGGTACATATTATAATTTTTAATTACAAACAATATCATAGTATATATATATAAGCAGGGGACTGTAAGTATACCCAATTTCTTAAAGCCTTCCCTACATGAATCTCTAGGACCCAGCCTTAACAAAACTCTTATTGCTCTTTTTTGGGCCACAAATATGCTTTTCATTGATGAAGATGAGCCCCAGAAAATAATTCCGTAATTGAGTTGAGCCTGAACATGGGAAAAATAGACGATACGTAAAACTTGTCCATTCACAATGGGTTGCAATTTTCTAAGCATGTAAATTGCAATGCATAATTTTTTTATTAAACTAATCGAATATTGTTTCCAATTGAGATGAGAGTCAAGGCACATACCCAAGAACTTAACATTTTCATCAATATTAAGATTTTGATCATTATATTCTATATGTAGTGGATAGTCTAAAGCCTTAGGAGTGGCAAATTTAATTACATGCGTTTTGTCCAGATTAAGTACTAGTTGGTTATTTTGAAACCATTTATGGATACGATTCATTATTAGATTTATTTTTTGATTCAATGTGGTAATATCTTTTGAAGAAACAATAATAGTGGTATCATCTGCGTAAAGAATGATATGAGCTAGACCTTTTAGGATACTAGGAAAGTCATTGATGTAGACATTAAACAGTAATGGACCCAATACTGAGCCCTGGGGAACACCATGCCTGCTAGTTAACCATCT